AGAGAGAGAGAGAGAGAGAGAGAGAGAGAGAGAGAGAGAGAGAGATCGCCCCAGTTACTGTGCACTCCTTGGGGACTTGGGTCAGTTGCCAGGCTGACCAAGTTTGGGAGGCTTGAGATGGCAAGTCCTGAACGTCCAAAACTTTACTGGGGTCCTCCGATCCAGTGTCCTGTTGTCTCCCTGAATTCTGTCTACCATCGTTGCACTCCGCCTTCCAAGCTAGGGGTGTAGGCACTGGTTTTTGGTGGGGTACTCATCAGATACAAAAGTGGGAATGAAAATTCGCTTTTCCAAGGGGAACGGTGGACAGACACACCCTGGCACTGGTGGTCCTAAGTGTTAACAAAACATCCGACCAAAGGGGTGGGGGCGTTGGAAAGAAACCGGCTGAGGGAGCTGGAGGAAGAGCTGGGTAAAGAAAAAGAGGGAGCAGCCTGAGGAAAGGCGAGTAAAGCAGCTGGCAAGGGCGGGAGGAAGAGGCTGCGCGCAGACCGAGCGGGGGAGAGGCTGGCGGGAGCGAGGAAAGCTGCAGGCGAGAGGGGGAGGTTTCTGGCAAGAGGCACAGGCGAACGCGGGCAGGGGAACTTCAGAAGAGGCTGCCAAAAAGGACTGGAGCTGCAGCAATGTGAGGCAGTGGACAGGGGAGGCAGCAACCACCAGCCCTTGGCAGGTGATGGTTTGGCTGGGAGAGAAAGGGGGAAGGGAGAGAGGCAGGCATCTGTTTGGGGGCAGTGCCAATAAATGTGCTTCTCCTTGGCAGCCAGCAGAGGGGAAGAGGAGCTCACGGAAAAGAAAAGCAGGGAGGCGAGGTTAAGAATAAAGCGTGTTCCAGGTATGACAGCTACCTCGGTGGGGTTGAAGAGAGGATTGACAAGGTATAGTTCATGTTTAAGTTGGTAAAGCAGGAAGTAGGACTATAAGAGGTCATGATTGATAAGCAGATGGAAAACGTTGAAAAATAGTTTGCCAAAAATGTATTGGATGGTAATAATTTGTATCCTAAAGAGAAAAATGAAAAATGTGAGGAATGAGACTTTACAGCTGTTGCTAAAATTAGAAAAGAGAATATATATATATATATCTCCCCAACTTGACCCAAGACTCTCAGGTGTCTTTTCTGATAGTTTTCCCTGTGCACAGCATAAGCCACCCACAAAATTATTTTGATGATGTAATAAAAAGCTAGACATTATATTGCATAACATTAAAATTTGCAGAATGTTTCTAGACATAGTATTTCATTTAATTTCTACAACATCCCTGAAGGTTTTGTTTTCAACTTCCAGATGAAGACAATGATAGAAATAAAAGATAACTTTCCACCTCATCATACAAGTGACAGAGCTCAGGTGTTTTCTGACTCCCAATCATTGTATTTCTTACTATGTTCCACTGACTTTCCACATAAAAAAATTCATTCCTAATCTTGATTTGTGCACACAGGTTGAGATGATTCATATAAAAGAAACAGAAAACAACATGAAAACAAGGTCATTTTCTAGAAATTGTCCAGTGTTCTGTACCAATGTAAAGTAACAAAATGTGATGTGGCATATTTGTCAATAAATCAAGAAATTATTTTTTTGTGTGTATTATATCTAGCAAGGTGTAAAATTAGAAAAGAGAATGCCAAAAAAATGTTGAAATTCTGTTCCAGTCCTTGAGACAGTATCAAAGAGGAGGTGAAATAAATTTATACAAGATATACATGAGAAAACAATTATAAATGGCAAAGTCCTTGCTAAATGAGCCAGTATATAAGACTTCATTAAGGAAGTCGGACACAGACTGAGTATTGCTAGACTGTCAACAAGAAGGGATTTCTCACTGTAAGAAACTTGTCAAAAATTAAATACAAGGGCCGGGTTTGTGGCTCAGTGGCAGAGTGCTTGCCTGGCACATGTGAGGCACTGGGTTCAATCCTCAGCACCACATAAAAATAGATAAACAAAATAAATATGTTGTGTCCATGTATAACTAAAAAAAATTTTTTAATAATAAATAAATACAAAACATAGATGTATTAACAGTACATATGGAGTACAAAGTGAGGGGGGGCTTGCAATAAAATATTAACTTAAACCTTGTTGCAATAGGCAAACAAGGGTTACTAAACCATTTAAGACATCTAGCGAATAGGTATCTAGTGAATATTTAAAACTATGCATGGTATTGTCTAGGAGAAGGAACTGGAAACAAAGAGATAATGAGATTTTTATCCAGCTACAAAACCATTAGACCTAGACTAGTGTTATGTCTTTGGACACCTATGCTTTCAAGTGACATTCCTATGAAGAAAAACTCCATTGAAAACAGGAAATTTTAAATTTGAAAGATAATGTCAAATTTGTGATTAGTAAAAATGATAAAATGTTTAACTTATTTACAATCATTTTGTAAAACTTACCACTGGACATTCACCATTGAGCAAAGAACAAGTAAGTATTCAAGGTTCTAGAAATAAAATACTGTTTTACTTCAATGATGGGGCTCAGCTCAGAAGGATTCATAGTCCAATGAGGGAGACAGACATGTAATAATTTTTATAATGCTGTAGGACTCAGGCACTTGGACTCAGGCACTTATCTTATGGAAGTAGTTGATTTTCCATGAGGTCCTTGGAGAAAGTATCACAAAATAAGTGATTCTTTGAGTAGAATCTTGAATAACGAGTGGAAATTTACGAGGTAGTGGAGGAATAAATATGCAAAAGTGCACTTGTGGAACTACAAATCCTTTGTCAAGCTAAAGGCTAGGGTATGTTTAAATCAAGGTCAAGCTCAGAGGTTGTGTGCAAGCATAAGATCAGCTAAGGTCTTTTGTGCCATATTTCTGGCTTTAAACTTTACCTTGAAGGAACTTTTAGGAGGAAATAAATTTTCACCACCTTTGTTAAATATTTGCTGACTTTTGGGGAACAGTTGCCTTCTAGAAGTTCTCATGTGTTTTGCCTCATATGTTCCACTAAGTGTTTAGTATCTGTGGTCAGTGTAGATCTTTTATCTGTGTTTGTCTAATAAACCTGATGCAACATTGCCCCACATGGACTTAGCTGGTTACCTACAGAAATGTAATCACTTTCTTTGTTGGGTGACTTTGCTCTCCCATCTCTCATCTGTTATCTATGCTTATCTCTTAACAGGCCCAGAATTATCAGGAAGTTCCTAGTCTCATCTCTTAGCAGTTGTGAGCTTTTCCTACCCATGTAAGTTAAAATATAAAGTATCATCCTTTCCTTTAGGGTGTTAATGAAATCTTTCCTCACAAACCTTGCCTCTTGCTGTGTGTGCTTTTGGTACGATACCTTTTCTCTTCTCAGAATTTTACAAAGATAATGAACACTCTCAGAATTACATGTGACTAGAGGAAACAGAACCAAAAAGAGAAAAGAAATTTTAAAAAATGGAGTAACTTCCCAAGGCAAAGGTTAATGGCAAGTCAATAAAATATTACAGGGGAGATAAAGGGATCTGAGGAAATAAATGATACCTGTACCTCTCAAAAGGCAAATGACAGACACTTAAAAGTGAGCATTCTGTGATATGAGAATGATTATAGCTACCTAAAATAACATTAGAGGAAAAATTATGTATTATAACTATCATTGAAACAGATTTCTCAGTAAACTAGAACCTTCTAAATGAATTCCATAGTGTGGGAAGTTACAGAAATTGCTCATTCCTCCATCATATCAATTTATGTGCTTTCTTCCCTATTTACATCAGTTGGAACTGCAGTGCTCTTTTATTTATTTTTTTTTTCAATTCAGAGAATATTGAATTAGTGCCAAGCCATTGGCATCCTTTCTTCCTACAGGGGGATCGTATATATAGATAAGGTCCCTAGAGCCTTGTTATTTAAGGTGTTTTGTCTGAGAGGATCTTAAGTCCTGGGAGTTTATTAGAAATGCAGAATCTTTGATTCTCTGTTGATTCATTTGCATGGGAATATTGAGATGCACTGTTGTAGAATATGCACACAGTAGAGCTACTTCTATTGTATCCACTACCTTAATGTTATGCTGTAACAAAAGTTGCTGGCCCATTTCAATCAGGGGAATCCTATGGTACTGAAATATTGTATCCTCAAAAATATAATTTCATGGCCTGAATTTATTGACATTATTTCTAATTTGGGGTGGAATGATATTTCTTGACAATTTATTTTGTGCAAAAACTCTCCTGTTTGATAAATAATAAAAATAGTTTGCTATGATTAGTGGCAATGAAGATAGCATAATTTTTTGTTAAAGATAGAGAAAGAGAGAGAGAGAATTTTTTAATATTTATTTTTCAGTTTTCGGTGGACACAACATCTTTATTTTATTTTATGTGATGCTGAGGATTGAACCCAGTGCCCTGCGCATGCCAGGGGAGCGCATTACCGCTTGAGCCACATCCCCAGCCCCAATAGCATGATTTTTTTCTTCCCTTTTTATTGATTTACAGTCTCCTTTCACCTCCAAAATTATGAGTATTTCCCCAAATTTATTCTTCTGCTGGTTGGTTTATTCATTTATTCTTCCACCAAACATTCATTAACAAGTATAAAATACCAAGCCACTGAAGATCTAACAAGAAACATGTGAAGTGAGTTAAGATAGACTAACTTAGTATGGTCAAGTTCTAAGATAGATGAGAACGAAGGCTTGGACTAAAAGTTGTTTGCACTTGGAATTACTATTGAAGTAAGCAAGAGCTAGCAGCACAAAAGAGAAAAACATTATTTTGATAATAGTGGCTGGTAATGGCCTCTAGTTCCTCATTGTTTTCATCACAGAGCTCTTGAAGTTTGGAAGTCCAAGATGGCTGAGACGTATGAGGAACCCCCCCAGAGAAGAAAAAGAACAATAGGCTTATAACCTTATAACATTAGGCCAGGGGTGGGGTCTTGCATGTGCCCATAGTTATGTCCATCCATCAGACGGACTGATAGCACTTCAGAAACCACTTTCTTTCCAGTGACCAGGCTCTTTATAGCACATGCTGGGATTTGTGGAAGCTCAAATTCCAACTTGACATTTCTCCTTCTCTACTATCTTCCTAAGAGAGATTGTTCTGTCTTAAGTTTTAATATTTACTTCTACTCTGTTGACTTTCAGATCTGCATCCCCAGGCTTAAATTCAGTTCTATGATCTAGAATTATGATTCTCACCTTTACCTAAAATTCAGCATGTCCTGAACCAAATTCATCACTTTTCACCTTAGATGTTATATTCCTTAGTTTCCCCCTTTTAGTATTCTATTCTACCAAGACTTGAATACCTTTAACTCTAATATTAAGTTGTGCTCACTATTCATTCAGTCACCAGTGGTTGTTTTGTCTCTTTGTCCAGCACTACTCTGATTCATTCCATTACCGGCATTGCAGTTAATCACAGTCCTTTTAATTCACACATTTGTCATTTAGTGGCTAACTGCTGCAGTTGTGTATCTATATATTCAATTTTTATCCAATTAATCTTCAGAGCAATCCATTGAAATCTCCCCCTTTTACTTTCTTACATATTTTCAACATAGATATTGTATTTATAATTGGAAAGATATTTTAGGGTCTTCATCAAACTCTCCATTTAGAAAAATAAATGGAGGCTCACAAAGATTAAGTAAGTCATATGACTAATTGGTAAAGTTTTAAAAAACTCACATATAGCTTGATTTCAGTTGATTTCTTCATTAAAAGAAAGAGATTTATTGTAAACTATTTTACACTTGGAAGAAAACACAATGAACAAACAATGTAGTTTAAGAACTGGTTTCATTGCTATTTTACCAGTTCCATGTAAATAACTGTGTTAAGCTAAAATCAAAGAGTTCTCTGGGTTATTGGTT